ATTTAGACATATGAAATACAGCCATCTTCATACGGTTGACCATCTTTAACCTTGTGCCATCATGCCAGAAAACCTTCGTAACCTAAAACTTCATTTGTCGAGCCGAACCTTTCAGCATAAGATATGGGCACACGATTTGCATCGTGTATTATTCAATATTAACGTGACCAGATCATCTAGAAACTTTGACGCTTCCATCACATTCCCTTTTCTCAATTTTCAAAAACCACTGTCTCACGAAATTGCTATTACGAAAGCAGTTTGATAGCATGCTATGAAATCATACTTCGAAGAAAAATGAACATAACAAACTTACCACAGCGTATTTTTCTCATGGCACTTCCAAATGTCCTAATCGCTCGCGTCACCTAAGAGAAAAAGCTGCACGCCAGGTGTAAAAGTTGACAGAACAATTCACAAACTCATGGCAATTAGCACGCATCGGAAGATGTCGGGCATCCCTTAATGTGTGGATAAAATGTCATGTCGGTGTCCTCTAATGTACGGCATGCTTGGACCACCACCACGTTGCTTTGAGAGCAGTAAGCAAACTGACTGGACAGTGAAATTTATTTTACGCACAAAGTTTATCTTAAACACTGTGATGCCAGTTTTTAACTATAAATGAAAAGGAAGAGAGTGAAATTTTAATCTGTATATCACTAAAACGTGCTACAAATGTCATCCCTCTACCTCATCTCAACAGACCACAAGTCATATCTTCTAAAATCGCAGGCATGAACTGATGGCTTGACACTGACGGAGTAAAAATATTAGATGTTTTAAGTCATGGGAAGCGCCCTAATTTCACTACACTACACAAAATGACAACCACTTTTCGAAAGCGTCACAATCGTCACGGTATCACAACCCGTATTCAAGAAGCAAAGGCAGTCTCGTAAATGGTGTTTACAGTTTTAAGTGGATACATCATGCCATAACACGGTATAAATACCACATCGTAGCTTTGGACTGATCCAAATTTCCTTCTCACCACCATTCCTGCTCGATCCCGACACCATCGCCGTGCCCTTTGTGTGACGCTGCGTACAAGCAGGGTAGCAATCGCACGTTGTCCACAAACATTTGTCCTTTCATTGACCACAAAAAATTGCACCAATGATGTCCAGAAAGTCTGTTTACATGTAACATAGCCTGCTGACTGCAGTCATCTGCTTAGCTGACGTAATATGTTCACATCAAATTATTTTTTTCACACGGACCTGTTTGCAGATACATGTATTGGAAGAAATGGAAAAGCAGACAGATTTAACACGTTTGTGAGACATGCATGTTAAAACTAATAGAAGGCACGGCCATGGTGAAACGTATGTATGTATCATATGTAAGAGCCCTATTATTGCGTTGGTAAATTGCACATTCCTCAGGGGTAAATAGACCAACTTTATGCTACTACTGTTCTAGTTTCGAAAACTGCTACGCATTTGATACACCAGTAACTGCAAAACTGTCTCGACAAGTGAACAAGACAAGAACAATGAAAGACACAGAGTTTCCTATTCCTTTCATTGATATGTGTTGTTGACTGAGAGTTGTGATGTGTGGTGTGTGAATGAAACAAAAAAGTTTGTGCGCGTTTCACCCTCACAATTACAGTCAAATGCGGTATGTAGTTTTATTTGAATGACCCATCGAACTACTCCTCGATTAAATCAGACAAGGTATGAAAATTTGTGTTGTTAACATGACTTTTTCAGTGAACGCTTTACCGGCAGTTATTAAATTTGTGCAACCCGGTTTACTAGTATATTTTATCTGCTAAGGTTTTGATGTCACTGGCGCCGCCGCTGTAAAAGGGAAGATAAGATTTTTCATAAATGTATTATTTGTGGCTGCACTTTCTCTTATTTGCATGGTTTTGAAAGCTAAAAGATTGCATAATACCTTATTTTGCTCATAACTTTTGACTCGCATGAATCCGCCGAGTCTCGCCCACAACAAGTTCCGCGAGCTCACGTGGGTCAGATTTTGACGAGTTGACGGGTTGAAAGGTTACGTCTCTAGTTTACACCGAGCCCGGCGCGCATGCACCACCGCCGACTCTACTCGCACGCACCACTGCCGATCATGCGTGTGTACAGATCCCGTCTCACGCGTACCGAGCCCGTACCCCTTGTACAGGGGCCGCGGCACGGGCGCAGCCGTGGCCCGGTGGCCGGCGGCCGGGCCAAATTCGGAGCCCGCTATCTGGCGGTCGGACTCGCCGCCGATACCGGGAGAGCGATGCCGTTGTCAGGGGGACGTGACATCAGCGACACCTCCGCAGATAATCAGCGGCCTGCTGGGGCACCGCCGGCCGTCCGCGCCGAGCGCGCCGCCATACATGGCGCCGCTGGCGACGGTCGCCAAATGCGCCCGCGCAGCGACCGGCGTCCGGGCCCGGTCGCCAGATCTGTTGGCGGCGGTCCGTGCCGCGGTGACGTTACCGTTACCTTCGCCGTTTGCGTACGATCGTGCCAGGCCCTTTCCGGAGGGTGTCACGTGAGTAGCCAGATTATTCTAGTGAGCTACTTTGAAGGACTAAAGCTGAAGTAATTCACGGGAGCACAGAAGAGTGCTGGAAGTGAATGGGGAGACATAAGCCTGCCTCTCCCCACGGAGTTGGTTTGGGGACTCCACTGGGTTCTGGCCGCCGATCCGGAGCCCTGGCTTAGTCGAGGCACATCAAGTCATAAAACTGAGGCCCGTTGGCAGTGTCCGGTAATAGATCAGCTTTTGTTCAGTTAATAAAAGGAACGCTCTGAGAAGTGTTTGAGAGTGATCCAGCCGATGGGTCTCTAGAATGCAACAGAGATTTTGCCGATGAAGAACTCTCGTCTTGGTGTTCAGTTTTACATGACTATGATCAATGCTCGGTGTTATGGCACGGAAGAAACACGATGTTGGCACGTACTGAATACCCTTTTAATCAGAATACAGGAAGATATCGTCAAGTGGCTGTCTGCTCCCGCAGCTCCATCGCCTGCCTTACAAGTCACCCATGGCGGTACCTGGCTTCGAGAGGCTTTGAGCGCTTGCAATTTGCCCCTGACTGGGATGGCCTGCAGCAGGTGGCGGCGGCCGTTCTATATCAGATTGGGTCAGAGAGCAGGGCAAATCGTGCCGAGCATTGCGGCACGTTACACTCTCGCCACAAAATTCTACTGAATGCCGGCCAGCGTGGCGGAACTTTGCTATCAGATTGTGGGGTCAGGGTTCACAAACAAGCACTGCTTAGCGTGAGCTCTGATCCCAGAAATCCACCCAATCAGAAAGGTTCGGGCTAAATTGATAAAAGCAAAACAAATTAATCCTCTAAAACATCCTCTAAGACGAAAACGCAATGGTTGAACAGACATGCCGGCGACCAAAACCGGGGGCACCAGGTGGTCGGCCGGCGCTCGGCTACGGCGATCGTCACGTCCCAATCCGGACCAGAAAGGAAACGAAAACGGGGTTTAACGCTCGGCCGCCCGGGGGATTGCAATCGCTCCCACTCTGATTTTGTGGGAAAACTTCTGCAGCGATCCAGATCGTTTCGCATTCGCTAAAACAACACATTCGAGGAACGATCATTTTGGCCCTGGGTCAGGTCACGAAAATGCGATGTCATTTCTGAAGGAAGCCCAGCCGTCTGCGCTTCTGGAGACAACGTTATGATATCGCCCGTCATAGCTTGAATTGCTCAGTGAATCACACCAACATTGCATCATCGTTACATTAACTTTGCATTAGTTAAAAGATACCAGCCAGGGTCGATCGCACGATACGAGCCCGCGTCTGGTCATCATCATACGTGACACGCTAGGTCCAGACCTTAGGAGGACATCATTTTAATGACCATGGTGTGAAAGACATAGGAGCATTATGGCTAAGCCACAGGATCTCAAAGACATCAAGCAATTTTCACTTAAATTCGCTAAAATGTGTTCGCTTAAATGTGTTACGTGATTTTTTAACCATTATCCTGTGATAACAAACGGAGGGGCAACAACTCTACGAGGATCACTGCTGGCCGAACACCTCAGGCGGTGCCATGGTGTTCACAGCACACTCATGTATGTTATGGATGCCGAACAACTACCGCTCACTTCGGTGCAGCTCTACCTCATACGCGCGGCCACACTGCAGCTGTGTCGCGCGAGTTATTTAACAAATGGCTTTTGTCTATGCATGTTAAAGCTTGTTCCCTGAGCTTCCAAGCACCAACGCTAAATTTTTAAGCAATAGATGCTGTTCAAGGCTTGAAGCATTTCAATCAAATCATCATTTCAACCGTTTCAATTTCCCACCGCGCACCGCAGCGCACCAAGCGTCATGACAGAGCCTCTCGTCAGACCTCGGAAAGCCTCGTATTAAACCAAATGGCCGCTTGCAGCACCACACGACGTGCCTCTCACACCCCATAATATAGCCTCTCACCGTGCCGAATGACGTAAGTTTTCACGTCTCACAACACGGCCTCTCACTAAGCCATACAATAGTCTCTCACACTGCACGAAAATGCACAACACATAGCCCACACTCACTACCGTAAGACACTCTCTCACCGCTCCCACGGCACCAAACGGCGCAACGCTCGAGCTCGGCCAGACAGCGCACTGCAGCACGCTCAGTACACCCTCTCACCACACCGGCAGGACTCCTAACCCATCCGGCGCTAGCGCTAGTGCTTACCTCACCACACCGGCAGGACTCCCAGCCCAACCGGCGCCAGTGCTAGTGCTTACCTCACCACACCGCCAGGACTCCCAGCCCATCCGGCGCCAGCGCTAGTGCTTACCTCACGACACCGCCAGGACTCCCAGCCCGCCCGGCGCCAGCGCTAGTGCTTACCTCACCACACCGCCAGGACTTCCAGCCCACCCGGCGCCAGCGCTATTGCTTATCTCACCACACCGCCAGGACTCCCAGCCCACTCGGCGCCAGCGCTAGTGCTTACCTCACCACAACGCCAGGACCCCCAGCCCACCCGGCGCCAGCGCTAGTGCTTACCTCACCTTTGCGACGGCTTGGAGAAGAAGAGGCCCTTGCTGAAGGTGCGCGCTGGATCGAACGGGTGCATCCAGCTGCCGTGGAAGTGAGCGCGTGAGACCAGCAGCAGTACGGGGTTGTCGGCCAACGCCGCCTCCAGGTCCGGCAGCTGGCGGACGCCAGAGCCGACGGGCGAATCGGGGCCGGAGCCGGAATCGGAGCCGGAGCCGGATCCGGCGGCGGACATCAGCCAGGTGGCCAGGTCCTCCTGCGCCGAAGGTGCTCCGAGGTTGAGATAGTTGACAGAGCGGCGGTAGAACTCGTCGAGCGCGCGCGCGTAGACGTCTGCCGGCGTCACCCCGTTGGTGAGCAGCAGGTCGGCATCCTCTTGGAAGTGGCGGTAGTAGTAGGGGTTGTCCAGCACTTGCGTCACCTCCTTGAAGGCGCGCTGCACGCTCGCGTAGCTGATGTTGTGGAAGCGTAGGACAGCGCGCAGCTGCGCCGACGACAGCGACTCTGAGCCTGCGCCGAGGAACAGCATCGACAGCAGCGAGAACACCGAATACGGCGAGATCAGCAGGTTCTGCTGCCGGTCGTCCGTCACGTTGGCCAGCGTGCCGTACATGTTCAACGTGAAGTCGAAGTGGGCGCGCGACAGCAGCTGCAGCAGGTCAGAGCTGGCCGTGCAGCTCCAGACGGCGACGTAGCTGGCCAGCAGCAGCGCCAAGCCCCAGCGCCGAGAGGAAGCCAGCGACGGGATCATGGTAAGCCTGCGGGGAGCGACACGCGCCCTATCAGACGCGGTGACGCTGCGACAGCGCTCAGGCACGGCGGCATCCGTCCCACGACATGACACCGATGCAGTGCCAACGGTCATATCAGGTGACACTAGCTAGACACGGCCGCGGCGCTAAGACATGATGTAGCGACAGCCACGGCGGTGCTGACACTGCAACGCCTGTCATACACCGGGGCCAGTTGGCGTTGATGAGACGCGGCAGCCCAACCAGCAGCCTGGTTTCGATCCCAACCGGGATATTCCGACCGTTTCCCAACTTTCTGGCTGAGGAATGACTAAGATGGGCGCCGAGAGTGTGATGCTTTGGTTGAGAGTGCCAAGCTGCTCCGAGCCGTTTCGCAATGTTTCCCAAGGCGACGTGTCCGGAGCGTTCCTCGAACCGCTTAGAGGAATTACGCATCGGAAAATGTTCCACCCTATCGAGATTTGCCTGCTTTTCCTCAAACGGCCGGCCGAGCGTCTCCCGAGCCGCCTTTGGTGAAGACGCACTGAAACATATTTTTCGACAAGTAAATCTCGAGCATACCGGCCAGGATGTCTCTGGAAATCCCAAGTTTCCCCAAGCGATGACCGTTGGCAAGGGTTTGATCGGAGAACGCTTAGAAAATCGCAAGCATTTCTCAGGCAGGTTTGGGAAAGTCGGGGTTTTCCAACTTTTCTCCAACCTTCCCTGACCTTTCCCAACCTTTCGCGACCTTTCTCCAACCAAATGACTGGGTGGGGACGCCGACCAGGCATCAAGACATCGTGACGCCGGTCAGGTCAGACACTGTGACGCCTTTCAAGCACGGCGCCACCGAAACAGTTACGACAGTGCGACACAGTTGCGACAGTGTGACGCCGTAGTGCCATGCCGGTGGGGCGCCACGGAACTGACGGTCCGCGGGTCCGGTTACGTGGGACCGGCGCCGGAGACTGAGACAGCGCTCGTGCTTACCGGTCAACTATCACAGATTGCCCTTGCACTAGCTGTTGGGATCCACACTTCGAGAATCGATAGCCGCTTCCAAACTCCCGCGAGGTTCTCCCGTGTGAGGTTATAAATTTCAGCCTTAAAGCTGCAGAAAGTGGTACAATCTGCGGGAGCTGTGAACTTGTTTTGTTTTGTTTTGTTTTGGGGTCCGATACTGTACACAAGTGTTCCGCACAAACTGGGAAGGGAATGATCAGCGTAGCTGACAGGAATTCATTCAGCAGCGCCCGGACCCTCCCGGGACACCATATTTTGAGGAAGGCATATTGGATTCCATTTCCGTCACACGGATGGCGGGATGTCTCAGTGCGAAGCCCCTGTCTGCAGCTCCGAACCGGCTGACCATGGCTGCGCCGTCTCCTGACTGTAGCCATCCCGCGCGGGCAGGGCATCCTGATTAGAGAGTGGACGCACTGAATAACGCCCCGTCATCTTTCCATCTATTCATTCGGCCACCCAAGTGTTAGTCGGAGGGTTTATTACGGCCTGCATTGGCATGAATGAATGCCAAAGCAGAGGCGCTCGGACTTGCATGAATCGTGCCGCTCCCGTTACGGAAGTGCCAAGATCAAACAGCTTGAAATTCAAATATCACCTGGTTGGGAATCGGTGGTGAGTCCAGGACTGATAGCATGCAAATACTGCGGCTGAATAGGGTAGTCAGGACATGGGCCATTCATTCATTTTGGCCGTGGGGATGGAGACCCTAAGCCAGGTACTCGGCTGAATTCTGATAACGTTGAGTCAATTTTTTTGCCGCTCGGAAATAAACCGACAGCAAAAGCCAGATGTATCACGAAGGCATGCCGCTTAGTCTTTCATTTGAACGCGAATCTGGCGGCGCATGACCAAAAACCCTGCCGAAGCAATAGACCAATCATGCCGCCCGATTTATATTTGCGCCCCTCCTCCCTTTCAGGAGTCCCGACAGACAGGGCGTCGCTGGAAATCCCGGCGGAGTTGGCCTGCCGCCAGAAATTGGATGTGCTGCGGTCACCACTTCGGAGGTCGGTTGTCTCCGTCCGGCGCGGCCTCGTCCGGCCTTTGCCGGCCGCTACGCGCCCCGGTGACGTCAGCCAGTGACGTCACAGGGGCGCTCCACCCACCGGCGACGCGGCCGGCACCGTCGTCTAGCAGCTACCGGTAAGAGTGCCGGCGAGCAGGCGCGGTGCTGGGTGGGAGGAGACCGTCACCCAGCGATGGACTTCCCCCCGGTTGCGAATCGGCTGTCCACCGGCCGACCGGCCGGCGGGCAGCCGATTTTAGTGCTACATAGTGGGTTTAGTACACTTGTATTATCATTTTAAAGCTATATTTAGTTAACATATTTTTCATTTTAATACATTTAGCACGCCGTTTCTCATAATGCGGGCTAATATAGGGTGGAAAGTGTGATACGACTACGCCGCCGTCTCCAAATTGCTTGAATTAAGAGTCCCGCAAAAAAACAACGGTGGATTAATCTCGACGACATATCAATGGTTCTAGGCGAGTAATGGATGCTTATAGGTCAGATCAAAACCCTTTTCCCTGAAAAACGACCTGTTTTGGCTCTCCACGATAATATTTATGAACGATGTCAGCAGCACCATGCAAATTTAAACAGACGTGTTCTTTGTTTATTTCTGGGCACTGTTGTATGCAGTGTGTGGTTGGAGCATACACTTACGCCGCAGGGTTCCGTTAATGCAACAGTGAAGCCCACCGCCCGCGATCGGTTGATTCGTCGATTGTCGACATGGCTTGTAATGCTCGTAAAAACGTCGAAACGCAGACAACAGAAATGCTATAGACTAGTTTTGGTGTCAAAACACGTGCCATGAATGCCTTACAGGCTACCGGAAATTTGGGCGAGATTGCGCGACCTGCTGGAGAGATATTTCTAGAAAACCCCTAGGGGAGCATCAACCCGTCCCTCCCTTAGCGCAAGTGTTGAGTCTTTTTCTTATCTACGTTCCTGGGTCTCAGCCCTTGCGTACCATTCCCAAAAACACCAATAAGATCCTCCTATCCAGCAAACCGCAATTGCATCATGCATGTTTTTACAAAAATGTTTTCAAATGTTTCGGAGGCCTTTCCAACCGAGATTTCATCGCAGGTGCTGTGTCCTAAGGAACAAACTCGAATAACTGGTTGAAATGTTTTAACAAACATAGCAGCGTACTCTTTCGTGACAACGGCTAGTGTCTTAGATACCTGTTTGTCCCAAAACTGTCGTATAATTTGTTTTATGTAACCGGCCCAAAACTTCATCCGTGTTCATAAGTTTTTGGTCAACTGAGTTTTCACAATTTGATCGACGTCACTTTTCCTCACGTTTGAAACGCGAAACGAACTAAAGGGCCTTCAACTTTTCACTAATCTTTAAAAAGCGTTCGGATGGAGTCAAATTGCCCCCCCCCCGAGGATTTTCCCAAAATGGTTTCCGAACGGAGGGGCGTGGTCGCGCCAAATTTTGTGTACGCGTAGACAATTTAATCGCGGATCGTTTCGCATCAGTAATTTAGATGTACCTTGTAAGTTCACTGAAGTATGGCGCGTATAAGTCAGGCCACAGCTTCAGCAAAGTCAATTTCAAGGGAATCGTTCAATCTGATGGAACAACGGAGTGTTAGAGGAAGCCATACATCTCTGAGACACTTTCTTAGGCAAGAGGCCTAGGGCCAGATATTATGGTTACACCAAGGTCCAGACCAGCCTGTGTTATTGCTCTAGGGCTTGCTCTGTGCTGTACTTTCTGGTGCTCATTTCGAATTTATTAATCACAGGAACCTCATCAGACATCTTCCATGGACGTCTTATAGGTCAGAATAGGTCACTGAACTAAAATGACCCATGTCAGCATTTCATTTTTAGGAACATACTGCCTAGCCTAACCTTTGTCGCTTATTCAAGTGCAAAATTCAAAGCAGTCTTCCATGAGTTTGGCCCCCATGACCTTCGAAAGGTCAGACAAGGAAGTTCACTGACTTTGTATAAGCATGTAACCTTTTGCTTAGGGCAGGTATCTAAGTATTGGGGACACTTTTGAGACCAAATCGGAGTTTGACATTGTTTGACCTTATTTGACCTGAGTTTCATAACCTAGAAGGATTAAGCTTTGACCTAAGTGAGTTCACGTACAGACCAATACGCCCTATAAATTTAGCGTCTTTAGCCCTCTTAGGTCTTGAGATCTCAGGGGGGTCAAATTGACCCCCCACCCGAGCAAAAGGTGTTCAACCGGCCACCAGGGTGTGTGTTAAAATATTATATAATAGGTTATCATAATGCCTTCCTTCAAGACATACACACCCTTGTAGTGCAAAACGGATCCTGTGACTAGCATTCCACTTGATACCTGAAGCTCGTTCTTTTTTCCCCTCGGCCCATAAACGGCCCGTAAACTCGTAATCAGCTGAAAACTGCGCACAGCAAGCCTGGTGTTCTCTTCGTAAGGAGCTTAGACTTATTTGGAACATCCCACTATCATACTGTCAGCTTCAAAGCTTATTTAGACCAAGTGCTGACCGACACCTTACGTAATCCCCTCTGATTAAATCGGAACCAAGAATGCAAATATCTTAGACAGCTACCGAAGTTCAGCAACTCCGGAATCTAAGCTGAGATTAGAAAGTAATTCCGTGATACCAGCAGTTGATCACACAGGTACACCTAAGGTGATTTGGACTGATATTCAGTAACATTAGTTTACTTATTTGCAGTAGATATGCAAGGCCTTTCTCCAATTGGTTTTTGCATGCTCATTTTTCAAGATAAGAGTGTCCAGGAGTCTACTGTTGTCAGGAAACGGTGGAAAAACGTCTGTCTAACGACGGCTAAATGACTAAAGCATGCCGAAGACCAAGCAATTGCAGATTCATTTCAGCCTAAGTTCGCTCGGAACAGAGCTTGTCTGACATTGTTGCCAGAACGCTATTTTCCTCGAGCACCGCACAATGAAAAGTGCTTTCAAGTTCATCAACACGATCAGTTGCATAAAATCGACCGCAGACCTG